TTTTGTTGGTTACTCGTGTTTTGTTTCCAGACAGTCATTACTCTCTTTTTTGTTGGTTTATAGTTTTTTGTTTCCAGCCGCACTGTTTCAGGAAGGTCGAGGAAGAAGAGTGAAGACGCATTAAGAAGAAGGCATTTTCAGGCTAATTTATTTATTGAATGGAAGAGTTAAAGGAATTGTTTGATTGGAAATTGGTAGTAGTCCATGAAATGAAATCATCACATTTTTCTTTCTCAATAAGAGTATAAAAATTGAAATTTTCGGCCTCTTGTAACCCAGCAGGAGACCAGCGAAGTAACACACAGGCCTGCCCAATCAACTTCAGGCCCAAACCGACCAACCCACAAAACCGAGCCTACCCGAGGTAACCCGAAGGGTTATGGGTTTGTGGGCCAATATGTGTATTGCGGCCCAAATTTCTCTCACTCTGACTTGTGCGGCTCGGCCCAAAAGACAGGCCCAACTTGAGCCTACCCGGCCGAGTTACACCCCTACTAGAATCTACCCATGGGTTATAAAAGCATGAACAAGATAGACGACGCTGCATGTGTTGCGCAGCAAAAAGGGTAGCCAACAAAAAATGACAATATCTAGATACCTATTTCTCAAACTTGTTGGAAAACACTGCCTCTATTCAACCTAGTTGGTTTGAGTTAAGTCGCAGCAGTTAAGAGAGGAATTTTTTCTAGAGAGGGTATGAATGAAACCAATTGAACTAAAAGTTAAAAGGAAAATTTTCATATTGATAGCCTGTATTTTAGCATATCGTTTTTTAGTACTTTGTGTTTTTGATAATTTTGAATTAAATACTCTCTAACGTTTTAAGAAATCGTTTTTGAGTACTCGAGGTCTTTTTTACGATGTAAAATGTCATTTTTACCCTCATACTTAATTTTTCAAGAATTTATTTTTCTAAACATGTTAAAAAATTTAAAGTCCCATATGATTTCATTTTTTAAGAAAATTTTGCATTTTTTTTTTTTGGTTTCTAATCTGTTTAGGAATAAATTCTTGAGAAAATTAAGTATAAAAGCATCCTAAAAAAAAGGACTCGAGTACTAAAAAACGATGTCTTAAAAAGTTAGATACCAATTAAAAATTATAAAAGACAAAGGATGCTAAAAAACGATTATTACCCTTAAACAAAGAACACCAATATAAAACTTTCCCAAGTTACAACGCAATTATATTTTTTTCAAACTTTCCCTCTCCTTTTACCTTCCTACATCTAATTGTACGTTTTTAATTTTCTTCTCCCAAATCAACTAAAATTGTATTTGTAATAGAGTTTAATTTATTTTTTTTAAAGTTTAGAGTCGTAAAAATTAAAAATTTGCATAGTGGTGGTGTAATTAAATTTTACTTTATATGGGGTTTTAATTCAATAATGTCGAGATATTTAAAAATAAAAAAGTTGGGGTATAGCATAAATTGTTAAAAAAAAATACTAGGTAAATAGTGCAATTTGAAAAAATCTATAAATTTAAAAGTAGAATATGGGATGTAATTGAATTTATTTTTTAAAATATACAAGTTAACTATTGCAATTAAAACTCTTTTAAGGGGCCAAATCAGTGAGAATTTTGTTGTCAGAGGGTAAAACTTCAGGCGCCTTTGGGCCTGGGGTAACTGGCCTCGGGTCCAAGGTAGGTCCAGACCCTTTCAGTTTGAATGAGGTTCTCTCACAACAAATGAGCCCTACGTACTGAGATAACCCAACCAATCTGACAGAATTGAAGAGCATTTTTTTATTCGACAAGAAACAAATTGCTACGGAAATTCGACCAATATGTAAAGATTTCTAATCCGAAATTTGTTGGCATTTTATTATTAAAAAAATAGTATATTTTTTCTTTTCGTAATTATCACGGGACTTTTGGCTAGTTAAATTTGAATTACACTAACTTAGGTTTTCCGAGTCTGGATTATTTTGGGACTTTTGATTTATCTTGAATTTGTGCTTAATGCTGATTCCAGCTTCCCGTTAAATTCGAGTTTGATTGATTACTGGTTCCCAAGTTAATCTTAGAGCTATCAGTACTTAGTTTAATTTATCGGGGTAACTTTAATTTATTCGAGTGATGTTTTATTTATGCGTTTGATTCTAAAGTGATTGTGCATATTATATTAGGATATGAGTCGTGAGAGAAAATAAGAGTATTCCAGTCTTTGTTCCATAGCTCTCAGCCTGCTGCACTTGTGAATTTCAATATGAAGTAAATCCGCGGAGAGTACGAAGGGGATCGGAGGTAAGAAACAGAACTTAGAGTAAGTCAGCCGGACCAAAAACAAATCGTCGTAAGAGGAGACGTCCGACGTCGTAGGTTCGGTTAAGATTCAAAGCAAACTTGTAATCGGGGGGTGACATTGGATCGAAACTAAAATTTATGCACCATCTATAATCCAATCTAATCATGCATATATCCTTTGAAATATAGACAATCCAATCCAATTTACTGCTATTATCCAACCAATCCAATTCAATCTAATGGATGATTGCATTGAATTCAATTGAGCTTGGGCTTTCATGAATTTCTCCGAATAAAGAGAATTACAATGCTATCTTTTTAAGTATCTGACTTACTAAAAATACTCATTTTAAAAAATTCTTATCCCTTAACTAGTTATAATTTAAAAGGTAGAAATATATGAGCTAATTTTAAGAAGTAGAAATAAAAGGGACTCCATTTCAAGGGTATTTTTAAAAATTACCCCCAATTAAATGCTATAAAACTAACCCAAAATGACAAATTCACGCACTTTAAAGACATAAATTTAAGAGAATTGCTGAAATTACCTTAGAGTGCATGAGTCTAGATTTTTATCTTTTATTCTTGATTAATATCCTTTTAACTAATACAGTTATTTGGCTAAAAAAGTATTAATTAAGAGTAAGGAGTAAATGAAAGTGAAAATTGGAAGCTGAGGACCCCTGAATTCATGCATTTCACCTGAGACAATATTCACCCACACGTCTACTTAAACATCGGAGTATCCAGGTCAACAGGATTTTGAGCCAGTTATCAAATGTTATTCTATGATCCAAAAATAGTGTAACCGTGTAACTGTGCAAGGCAGCATGCAGATGGGCATCAATCTGATTTCACACATGTGATTACACTGACCCTAAGAGCCACGTTCAAAGAATAACGAGAATTCTATGGCAGGGTCTGAAAAATTATCCTGCTAATAAGACTCTTTTAAACTGTCAAATCTATATCAAATTTAAAAAAAAAAAAAATCAGAAAGCTCATACATAAATATCAGTCAAGATACTACTCTTTTAAACTGTCAAATCTATATCAAATTTAAAAAAAAAAAAAAATCAGAAAGCTCATACATAAATATCAGTCAAGATACTTGATTTGCCCTATGTTCAACGTCCTGTGACGTGACTGATTGTCGGTTCCGATTGTTAATGAAGGTCTAACGGACTCAGATTGATGTTCACTGAGAAACTACATTTGAAAAACTAGCTTTAGTGCGTATTCTTCTATAGTTTTCTCCTCCCAGAAATAGCATGGAAACTGCATATAACTTTATTTACACCAACCCTTAATGGAACTCTTTTCATAAAAGCTCATAAAATTATTTCAGGACTTGAATTCACACTAGCGAATCTACTTTTACTAGAGAAATATATATATATATATATATATATATTTTTTTTTTTTTTCATGACGAGTGACGTTAAGTATTCAAGTAGTCACTAAAAGTTAGTCAAAAACATCCGCGGGGGGATTTTATCATATGCCAAGTAAATAAACAACTATAACAACGAGATTACTTGTTAAAAAGAGAGAAAAAAAAAAAAAAAAAAAAACCAAGTTACAAAAAATTCACTCACTTCAAAATAAATGGACTGAGTTCTAATCTCAAAGACATTGGCATCTCAATCTATGTAAACTTATTTTGACCAAATGCCGTACCATGCCCCTAAACAACAGAAGAAGCTTGTACCCCTAAGGGCACCCTTTACATTTTAATTGAGGCAGTATTCTGCTTGGTTGAAACCGAGGTTGGAAAACTGGGATCTATCTTCAACCAGTTACTAAATCGGACCATTACTCGCATACTCAATTGTTTGAAAGAGCTAACTACTGTGACTAAATCCTTTAATCCAGGGTTCTTATATCTATAACCTAACATGCAGCATCCATAGAAGGAAGGGCTGAAGTTCACTTTAATAATAATTAAATAAAGAAAATAAAAGAAAGAAGAAGCATATAAATACTACACATTACGGCAACCAGAAATCTTTCTGTTTCTAGGTAAATTCTACATCAGAAGTCTTATTCCTTTTCAAAGGAAAAACCCGATCTTTATGTTCATTGTACACAAGAAAAATTTTAAACTTCGTTGATTAGCCTACTTGTTCTGTAATTCTCTGTGCACCCAGCAGAGAGTTTTTTATTTCTTTTCAACAGTATATTTACATAATAACTCTACATAATGATCTCAATGCACATTTCATTCGTGGCTTCACGAAAACAACTCTAGTAATATCTATATATACTGCCAAGAGAGCTTTTCTTTTTTTCTTTTTTTTTCTTTTCCTTTTTCATTTCGCTATTTCCTAGACCAAGGGGCACGGCACCCTGTATTCTGCTACTACAACTCACCATGACCTTAAGCACCCTACGGATTTCCCATCTGTCTTCCCTTGACTCTATAATAAAACTTGCACTCAAATTTTTTTCCTTGAAGAAAAAAACACTTATATTTAATCACTTCAGCTTACTTAGGATTATTGATTTTACCTCCCAGAAAAGAGTCGCTCCAAAATAATCCTAACCCACGTTCACAAAAAGATCTGGCACTGACAAGTAGTCAACATCAAGAGATTTTCTACCCAATCACAAATTTCTTTTTATGATTTATACAAGGATTTCCAGAATAGAGTTTATGCAGATTGCTTTATAACCCCTAAGCTGTTATCCAAGTGATTTTACATCCACAAGATTCAGGAATTCTGAGCAACTTAGCATGACAGCCCATAAAAATATAAAAGGATCAGAAGCAGTCACCAAGGTAATTTATTAACAGAATAACCTTGAGAGTGAGACTTTTGGTCGACAAATCCTATAGGTAACTACCATATTAAGAAACAGAAAATACAACTGGATCAAATCACTGTACAGGAGCAGATAATGGTTTATTAAGAAAGCAAAGTAGCTAGAGTTGAAATCTGACATAAATAAGATTTAAAAAGAAAATACAAGTACAGCTTAATTTAACAAAAGGCATTCTTACCACCTCTACAAGAATTTCTCTATGCTTGTGGTTAAAGTGGATTTCGGAACAGCACCAATAATTGAATCTTTCTTCTCACCATCCTTGAACATGATCACAGTTGGGATGCTTCGAATACCATACTCCGTAGCAATTGTGGGGCTATCATCTGTATTTACTTTGTAGAATTTAACCTTTCCAACATATTGCTTTGCCAAATCATCAACTATTGGGTGAATCATACGGCAAGGCCCGCACCACGGGGCCCAGAATTCAACAACGACGGGTAAATCAGAATCAAGGACAAGGGACTTCCATGATGCTTGGTTAACAGCAGCCACTGAGATTTTCAAAAAGAACATAGATATATCACTATGATGTGTTTCTTAGGCTATCAAGGAATTATAACTATCAACATAAAACACACATGACAAATACAATGTCAGGCACTGCCTTCACAAGTAACTTACAAATTTTCAATCTTAGTTGCTAAAAACCTCAAGTAAATAACTTGTCTCAATATTTTTACACTGCAAGTCGGACACTAGGATTTAGGAATATATACATACATAACTTCAATTCCTGAACCCATTTCAACAATAATCCTATGTAAATCTATGTTTTTGTGCCCTACTTCTTCAGCGTCAGTCCACTCAGATTGAATAATCAAGAAACAATTATCAGTTTGTTTTCTTTCTCTATCCTAGTTATGTTGAAAAAAAAAAAAAAAAACACACACACACACACACACACAACACAAACAAAATTAAAGCAATCATTTTTCGTTTTCTGAAATTTTCATCATTCTTTCATTTCGTTTCTCTGTTTAACTTTCCAAGAAAACAAACATCAACAGTTCAAAAAGATAAAGGACCGCAAAATAAACAACGAAAGTCGAAACTAAAAAAAGAGCAATTGTGAAGTAATCGTTGAAACATAAAGCGTCCGATACTGACCTTCAACGGCGGTTTCCTGAGCCTCGCACACGATAGCTCCACCACGACGACCGACTCTCGAACTCGGCCCAGAACTCACCGATCCTACAGACCGAGTCGAAAGACTCTGTGCAACCTTGAGGCCTCTGAACTGCGGCAATCCGAGGCGGGCGACGAGGGAAGAAGCCGAAGAGGTGGCCATCGGAGAGAGGCCACGGGAAGGCAGAGCGAAGCAGCGAGGAAGAGTGAGAGTCTCAAGCACGGTCGCCATTGCCGCAGAGTAAAGGAGCTCCGAAGAGGCCGATCTGAGAACTGAACTTCCGAGAGAGAGAGAGAGAGAGAGAGAGAGAGAGAGAGATGAATGGTGGGAGGTTTGTTTTGGATGATGATGAGTTGTGGCACGGGTGAGTCTAGAGTGGAGCTTCTGTTTTTCCTCTTGTCGATTTTGTACGGTTTGTCCAGTTACCAATGGATGGGAACCACGTCATCAATTAGGAAAAAATCTGCTCCCTTTTTTCTAATAAGAGAAGCTTTTCTCCCTCTGGACTACTCTAGGGTTAGCCCTTTTTTTTTTTTTTTTTTTTTTTGTGTTTTTTTAACATCAGGTTAAACGAGTAGGCCCGAAGTTTGTTATTGTTGGTTCAAACTCGGCTCAGCCTGGCCGGCCCTACCTTTCAGGTCGAGCTGGATTGAAGTTTTGAGTCTAAAAGCTTATCAGGATGAACGACCCAAAAAATCCTCTTTTTGAAGATTTTTTTTTTTTTTAAATACCTTATAAAATTTCAGATGGGATTAACCTAAAATTTTCATTATAGCCTCTGGGCATGTCGGATGTTCTGAACTTTCACCTCTAATTACTAGTAATTCATTTCTTATGGTCTTATTAGAGAAACTCTAATTTATTTTCATTTCTTAATTAGGAGGGAAAACCCGTTTAGGAAAAATAAAATCTTAAAACGCTGCTTCATAAACCTAAAACATAAAGAAAATATATATACTTTCACGATGTTACTTCAAAGATCTTATGGGCCATCAGATCATGAGTTATATGTGTTTTTTTTATTATTTATTAGGACTCGCCAACATACTGTTAGGTAAAGTTTTTTGTCTGTTAAATATGTATAAAATCACGTAAAAGTTAAAAAATACGTAGATCCAACTGTTAAAAAAACCTAACATATCAGTACGTCAGAAATACCAGTGAATCTCCCTTATATATATGTGTTTATATATATATATATTTGTTAATTTCTGTTTATAAAATAAAACATCCAACTTCTTTGTTAAAAACAACTTCTCATTTGATTAAACTTTCTTCTCCTCCACTCGTGTGTGGTTGTCTCTTAACAAGATTTTTATAAAAACTTTTATTTATATAACACGCCAAAAATTAATAAAAAAAAAAAAGTTTGAGTGTGTCCATTTGTTCCACTTGTGTGCAATTTGGATCCTAATTCATAAAAATCAGCAAAATATCTTAAATCACATAATCTCAATAGTATACTATATTCTGTTATATTATATCACCTACCAAATACAACCATCAAAACTTAATTGGTTGTAATAAGTCATAAGTGATTGCAACGGGCGGGACAGAGAATAATTTTATGTCCTCATTTTTCCATCTAATATAATTATGCATCCAAACATAATAAAAAATAATGAGAAATTCATTCTAAATTCAGTTTAAAGTTAAAAGGTTTCATAAAACAAACCATATGCTAGAAGTACGCAAACCAAAATACAGTAACAGAGCAACAAATGATTTTAACAAACAGAAAAGTCTCAAACATGAAGAATTATTAGGAACAGTATTTAGGATTTAGCTTTAACTATTCATCTGACGACTGAAGGTAAGAACTTTACTTACTCGTAACACTTTTTGTATGATAATTTTGTGTACTAACTTGCCTAATCAACTAAGTCGCTAAAGTAGCCTAAATGTTTAACTACGTAACATTTTATCATCGAGTTCTTAGTATGATGTACTTATATTTAATAACAGCATATTAAATTTGAGATTAAAGTAAAATGTAAATGTTGCAAGATTTCAAACAAAACATTCTATACTTCAATAAGATGTTCTAATGTTGACATAAAGATTTATTGTATACGAAGAAAGTTCTATAATATAGTATAAAAATATTTGATGACTAATATACAAATTTTTTTTTTCAATAAGAGATGAGAGAATTAAATTCGTCACCTTATAATAGAATCAGGTGTGAAAAGATTTTTTTTTTTTTTTAATTTTTATCTAGCCGGACCGGCTTTCTTGAAGCTTTCATTGAAGCTTTATCAAGTAACATGGTAAATCATAAGTGAAAAAGAATAGAAGTCCTATCCCTAACGCTAGTTACCTTAATAAATAATAATCATAAAAGTCCTTACCTCATCTGGAAGATGGAGGCACATGAAAAAGAAGATTTTAAGAAGAAGATGAGTTGATTTTTCTTGTTTTCTAGATTTTTCATGATGGTGGTTTTTTAATTATTTTATGCGGATGACATAATATCATTGGCTGACGAGACTGGCGGGCTGCTCGCTCACGAGTTGCAAGGGGTGGATGGCCGACAAAAGGGGCGCACAGCCTAACAAAGAATGAAGGGCTGGGATTCGAACAACATACGAGACTTCCATTGAAGCAATTCCTGTAGAACTTAATTGCAGTGGCTAGTGTATTTATGTTACTACTACGACAAGGTTTTGTCCTTAACGGATATAGGTTTTGTCCAAGATAATTTCTTGAACTCTAATACTACATCAATATTTGAATGTTACGCGAAAATCAGACAACCCATCAAATTAATGCTCTCTGTTGAGATCAATCTAGACGGTCATAAATGAGTGGAATTTTGAAACTCTAAAAAGAAGTTGTCCGGTCGTAAATACACCCTATAAAAATGTTAACGTCATGTATTATTATTAAAATAAAAAAAATAATAAAATTTACGTATTAAATAATTAATATATAAAATAATAAAAATTACATTTCTCGCAAATCCTATAATAGTATTATCATTAATTCATTACCTCCATAATGAATAGATAAAATTGGTCGTGAACCTCAAGTAAAACAAAAAAATCGAACTAAATATGATTTTTTTTCAAAAGAAAAAAGGTAGTACAAAAAATTCCAATTCTCATTCCAAAACAGCGGGTCAAACTTCCAAACCTCACCAACTGTGTCTGCTTCTGTCTCCTTTTCCTCTGTTTTTACTGAAAAAAGGGTCTCTTAAAAGCCGTTTTCTCTCTTCTTCTCCGCTTGTTTCCAAAACAAAAAAGTTCATCCGGATTTTCTGGGGATCGATCAGGGAATTCGAGGTTTGTCCATGAACACATTCATGGATGGAATTAAAACACAAAAATCAAAAGAAAAGCAACCCATGCAATTGCAAAAGGGACGGCCTTTAACACTCGTACGTGACGATTGTGACAAGATCAATACAAAGTCTGCTACAGAAGAGGCCGTGAAGTTGGCCGCCATAGCCATGAGCTTCAACGTACGGCTGAGATCATCCGACATGCCCCCCCACATGCAAGCGCATGCCCTGCGATGCACCAGATCCCTCCTCGACTCCAGTAATCCACCAGCAACAGTTGTTCCACCGACAACAAAAGCCAAAACTCGTCCGAACCCAACTCACATCGCGCGAGCTCTCAAAAAGGTATTCACTATTCAAGAATCAAAACTAAAAGCTTTAAAAATTCTTTTTTTTTTTTCTCAAAAAGGCACTGTGTGGTGGGAGCGTGTTTCGGATCGTTCGTGACTCACTCACCAGGTGGGTTCGTCTACTTCTCTCGGTTCTGCTCTTCAAAACAGAGGTCAAATTGGTCACTCAACTATAAAAAGAGTTTTATTTTTGTATGCGTTTAGAGTAAAATTCTTGTTTTGAATTATGATTAGTAAGTATTTTTTTTTAAAAAAAAAATATGTAAATTAAAAATAATTTTGAATCATAATTTTAAAATTATAAATAAGTTCACTTAAAAGTTCTTTTTTTTTTTCCTTTTTTTCTGGGTTTTTTTTCTTTTTTTCGGGGTTTTTTTTTCCTTTTTTTCTGGGTTTTTTTTTCATGGTTTGGTTTGAATGGTTTGGTGGTCAGGAGTTTGACTCGACGTACGGGCCAGCGTGGCACTGTGTGGTGGGAGCGAGTTTCGGATCGTTCATGACTCACTCACCAGGTGGGTTCGTCTACTTCTCCATTGACTCGCTCTCGGTTCTGCTCTTCAAAACAGAGGTCAAATTGGTCACTCAACTATAAAAAGAGTTTTATTTTTGTATATGTTTTGGTGACTTTACAGTTACTTTTTATGGTGTGTTAGGGTAAGAAAATACTTGATTTCTGTACTGTTTTAATTTTTATGAATATAAATATTGGTGAGGCCTTTTTATAGTGAGAAAGAAAGCGTGCCCGTCTGGTAAAAGACAAAAAGATCAGAAAACGTTTTGATTTGACTGAGAATTGGTATTGTGATCTCTGAGCCTGTTTATAAAGACACGCAAAGACCATAGATGAAGAATTGATTTCTGGATTTTTTTTTGTTGTTGAAAATATATTAGGTGCGTTTAGAATTGTTTTCAAAATGATTTTATTTTTTGAAGAAGAGTGACGGCCGGGAGGGTAGTCAGAGAAGAGAGCGGCGGCGGCGGGGGAGGGGGGAAAGTTGGAGAAGAGTGACGGCCGGGGGGGAACTGGCGCGCAGTTGCTGCCAAAAAGACAAAAACGTTTTTGTTTTTGTTTTCTAACACAAACTTCACCAAACGCGTTTTTCATTTCTGTTTTTAATTTTTTACTTCGAAAAACGTGAGAAAATGAAAATAAAAACGGTAACAAACATGCCCATTGATTTCTGGTTTTTGGTAGCTAACGTTTATAAATTGCATTTGGTAATTAGTGTTCATGTAGTAATTGATAATTATTACTACATGAACACTAATATTATCAAGGGACGTTTATAACTTGCATTATAAGTACTTAGTACTACCACTATGTCATAAAGTACGACTACTATATTATATAGGCGCTAATAAGCTTTTCTTCGGGATTGGAGTTAATAAATCAATCATGCTTTGCTTTTAGTTGCTCCAAAAGAAGTTGGGTATAATTGATACTTTTAGACCTTGTTCATTTTACCGATTCAAATTTTTAATTTTAAGTTTTTACAGTAAAAAGCTATCAGAAAATGTTTAATCTAACTTTTTTTGCTACAGTGAAAAGCTCTCAGAAAATGTCACATCTCAACTCGATGTGCAGACGCCGACTGGATGAGCGACGGTGGGCGTTCTCCCGCGTATTCTTCGGCTGGAGAAGAGAGAGAAGGAAAAAAAAACTGAAATCCGTTTTCAGAAAATGAAAACGTATTTTTTTCATTTTCAGTTTTTCACAAAAAGACAAAAACATTTTTGTTTTTGTTTTCTAACACAAACTTCGCCAAACGCGTTTTTCATTTCTGTTTTCAATTTTTTGCTTCGAAAAACGTGAAAAAATAAAAATAAAAACGGTAACAAACATGCCCATTGATTTCTAGTTTTTGGTAGCTAACGTTTATAAATTGCATTTGGTAATTAGTGTTCATGTAGTAATTGATAATTATTACTACATGAACACTAATATTATCAAGGGACGTTTATAACTTGCATTATAAGTACTTAGTACTACCACTATGTCATAAAGTACGACTACTATATTATATAGGCGCTAATAAGCTTTTCTTCGGGATTGGAGTTAATAAATCAATCATGCTTTGCTTTTAGTTGCTCCAAAAGAAGTTGGGTATAATTGATTAACTCTTAGGTCTTGTTCATTTTACCGATTTAAATTTTTAGTTCTAAGTTTTTATAGTAAAAAGTTATTAAAAAATGTCTAATCTAACTTTTTTTGCTACAGTGAAAAGCTCTTAGAAAATGTCACATCTCAACTCGAATTCGCAAAGTGAACGAGGTCTAGAAAGTTTAAATCTTTGTTAAATCAATTACACCCAACTTGAATTACATTTCGAGGTTTACACCCGACCCGTTCCATTTGCATCCTTATTTTATGTGTTCAAATATAAAATTAATATTGGTTCACGTCTTTGCACAACTTAAATCGCAATTTAAATTTTTTTATTATGATATTTTTTCTCATAAAAATTTAAATTTAACTTTTTTAATATAATATTTTCTCTCACATAATTTATTTTTCAACGTAAATTCTCTCACATAAGTTTTTATAATGGATTGTTAAACTAATATGCTATCAAAACAAGAGATCTTGAGTTCAAATCCTTCCAAGTATTTACAACAAAATAAAAGTTAAATTTTTGACCTAATTTGTAAAACTAATATTATGATTTTAGACAGATAAAAGGGTAATTATACACTAATTTATTTTCTTAACCTCCCTTCATACTAAACAACAAAAAGAAAAACCATTTTTCCTTGTTATCATTCTTACTCTCTATCCATTGTCCTTCTCCTTTCCATCCTATATTTTTTCCCTCCTGTTAAAGATAGTGTAAAGCACGTCATGTTAAAAGAAAATATGATAGTTTAATAGAATTTGATTGAGTTTAATTTAAACTCTACACCTGACGATGAAATCATATGTGACGATGAAATTATATGTGAAATTACGGATAAATTATTAACTATACCTTCAACCATGAAAATCTTTTATGGTTAAAAATTGTCCAACCAAGACTATTCAGAAAAATTATCTTAATTCTTGTGTAACTCTGGTAAAATATTTTTGGTTGGTATTTGAATATTGTTTTCTCATTTTCCACTTGTGCTAAGTAATCCTTCTGGAAGTTTGTGTTTTTACTTTTGAGCCAGTCGCCGGGATCCTACATTTACTCAAAAGTTTCCATTTTTCTATTGTCCAGCCTCCCAAAACTACACACATTTCAGGTAAGGAAATGCTAGTCCATTCCTGAATATTATATGCTTCTAAACTATCCCACGTGAGTCTGTGTGTGAATCTCACATGACTACATGAGTCACAATACTCATTTATGGGAACCAATAAAGATGAATTTCGGGCCTTTTTTTTTTTAATTTCATTTTAATCCCTGTTATATCAAAATTTAAGTTTAGTATCCTTTATTTTTAAAAATTTCACGACCTTTTAAAAAATTATTTTTTGATACCTTGAGACACAAAATGACACAATTACCCTTATTAGGTGTGTCGAGACAACTAGGAAAAACAAAAACAAAAAACAAAAGAAAGAAAGAAAAGAAAACCCAGAGACTGTTTCAACTTGAATATGTAATAAATATCTGAAACAAAAAGATGCAAGAATCCCCATATTTTCGTCACGTATTGCATAAATAATTCAGCAGAGTATGAGATGTAACTGATATCTCTACAATGCTTAGAATGAAGATGCTACACAAAATAATAATAATCTCATGAGGGAATGGATACAGTAGGACAATGAATAGACATTTAGGCAGTCAGAGGCTGTAAATAAGCGTCATCTACAAAGAATAAATTACAAGTAGAAAAAGGAAAAAAGAAAATATGGACAACGACGCATTAAAATAAAATTGTAAACTTCTATTCCCTTACCACCGTGAACCAGAAAATTGGCTTAGAAGGATCGTGCCACTAATGACCGTGTTGAAAATGAACAACCACTTCGACTGTGACATCCATAAATTTAACACGTTTTGCAGTTTTCGACCTAAGACAAGTTCTTCTCGCGCATGAGGGATTCTATCTTTTCAACATCTTCCGGAATGTCAACGCCATGAGCTTCGTGGTCAACCTTAATAACCTGAAAGAAGAAATAACCAATCTCATTCTTCATTTTTTTACATTCAATATTGGCCTGTAATGTTCAAGAATACCCCCAAATCCCATTTGAAATCATCAAAACTGTAGGTTTTGAAGGGAAAAACTTCCTTTTTTTCTTCTTATTATTAGTGTAATGTAAACCTAATTTATAGGATACCAAGTACCCTTGACAACTCATAGAAATTCAAATAAGCTCTTATCTTATCTAAATCTATCTAGATCCGGTGTTTATCTAGAAAAACCGGAATTCCCTATCTCCTAGGATCCTAATCCCAAACTAAGGGATTTGCCTCTTTAATTCAAAAACTGAAAAGATAAAATCTTCTAATTTCCTACACTCCCCCTCAAGTTGGTGCATAGATATCATGCAAACCTAACTTGCTAACAAAAAAATCAAAAGTCGACTTGAACAATCCCTTCGTGAAGATATCTGCTGTTTGTTGTACTGTTGGAACGAATGGCATGCAGATCAAACCTCCTTCGAGCTTTTCCTTGATGAAATGCCGATCAACTTCAACATGTTTGGTTCTATCATGTTGCACAGGGTTGTTGGCAATGCTGATTGCAGCTTTGTTGTCACAGTATAACTTCATAGGAGCTTCTATCAGCAACTTTAATTCATTCAACACCCGTTGTAACCACAGTAGTTCACACACACCATTAGCCATTGCTCTATACTCTGCCTCGGCACTGCTTCTTGCTACTACACTTTGCTTCTTACTCCTCCAAGTAACTAAATTACCCCATACATAGGAACAATATCCTGTTGTTGATCTCCTATCTGTGGAGGATCCAGCCCAGTCTGCATCAGTGTAGATTTCAATCCCTCGTTGAGTGTTCTTTCTAAAAATTAGACCTCTCCCAGGAGAATTCTTCAAGTATCTTAGAATACGGTAAGTAGCCTCTAAGTGTTCCTTCCTGGGTGAGTGCATAAACTGACTAACAAGGCTGACTGCGAAAGCTATGTCTGGTCTCGTATGAGATAAGTAGATTAGTTTACCAACTAACTTCTGATATCTTGTTGTGTCCATTGGATCTCCTTCCCCACTGTTGTTGAGCTTAACATTGGGGTCCACCGGTGTATCTACCGGTTTACATCCACTCATACCTGTCTCATCCAGTAGGTCTAACACATACTTCCGTTGACTTACAACAATTCCTTTCTTTGACCTTGCCACCTCCATCCCAAGGAAATATTTGAGGGAGCCCAAGTCTTTGATCTCAAATTCTGTAGCTAAATTCTTTTTTAAGCTGTGAATCTCTACCGGGTCATCCCCTGTTAAGATAATGTCATCAACATAGACAATTAGGATGGTAATTCTTCTGCTTGGTGAGTGCTTGAAGAACATTGTGTGATCCGTTTGAGCCTGTGTATAACCCTGCCTTTTTATTGAGCAAGTAAATTTCTCAAACCACACCCTCGGTGACTGCTTCAAACCATATAGTGACTTCATCAATCTGCACACCTTAGAGCCAAACTCTCTGTCAAAACCCGGTGGCACATCCATGTACACCACTTCTTCCAAATCACCATTCAAAAAAGCGTTCTTGACATCTAGTTGCTGTAGTGACCAATCCAGGTTTGCTGCCAATGAGAGAAGTACTCTAACAGTATTAAGTTTTACTACTGGAGCAAAAGTTTCCATGTAGTCGATTCCACATGTTTGAGTGAAGCCCTTTGCAACCAAACGAGCCTTATATCTTTCTAGAGATCCATCTTACTTGTATTTTACTGTGAACACCCATTTGCAACCCACAGTCTTCTTATCCTTCGGTAGGTCAACCATCCTCCAAGTATTGTTCTTCTTGAGAGCCCTCATTTCCTCTAGAACTGCCTCCTTCCACTCAGGGACCTGTAAAGCATCTTGAACATTCTTTGGAATTTCCACAAGTGTGAGTTGAGTAGTGAATGAAGAAAACATTGGGGACAATTTTTCATAGGACACAAATTTGGACATTGGATACTTAGTACATGATCTAACCCCTTTTCGGACAACAATTGGGAGGTTATTGAGAGTTGTTTCTCCGGGAATGGAGTTTGAGGGAGGAGAGATACCTGGATAATCTTGGACGGGAGAAGGGGCATTCACAAGATTTTGGTCCTGTCTCGGGTTGGAGTTTAAGCTTTGCTGGAAAATTTCAAACTCCCTTCCATGAGTCAAGTTCTTTCGAGAGTAAACCAGTCCAAATTTCTTTTTATTTGCATCTCCTTCTAAAGGACCATTATTTTCTGCTGGAATGAGACTTTGGTCTTCCTGGTTTTGAGTTAAAACCGAGTTTGTTGGTGACTGTTTAGAACCAGATTCTGAAATCAAATTCTGTTCAGGCTGGAAAGGAACTTCAGTCACCAAGTGTTCTATTTTATCCCAAGTCGGATCTTCACTATTTTTCTCCTCCTGAAGAGGAGACTTGAAAAACGGCTGTGTTTCAAAGAAAGTGACATCCATAGAGACAAACAATTTTTTCGAAATAGGTCATAGCATTTATATCCCTTTTTTGCTGGAGCATAGCCTACAAAGACACATTTTTTGGCTCTAGGAGCTAGTTTACTTCGGTTTTGATCAGTGTTGTGAACAAAAACAGTGCATCCAAAGTGTTTAATAGGCAAGTCTGATAAGACCCTAGAGAATGGAAAGGTTTTTGAGAAGATTTGCAAAGGAGTTTGAAAATCTAGAATTTTTTAGGGCATCCGATTAATGAGATAGGTAGCTGTGAGAATGGCATCACCCCAAAGATATTTTGGAACATTATGTGTGAAAAGTAAGGCTCTAGCAACTTCTAGAAGGTGTTTATTTTTTCTCTCAGCTACTCCATTTTGTTGAGGGGTGTCATTACATGAACTTTGGTGAATAATCCCCTTTTCAGTAAAAAAATTCCCCAAAACACTATTAAAAAACTCTTTTCCATTATCACTTCTAAAGACTTGAATATTTCCATTAAATTGAGTTTGTACCATAGTGTAAAAGTTTTTGAAAACTCCTTCAACTTCTGTTTTTTCTTTCAACAAATAAACCCAACTTACTCTAGTGTGGTCATCTATAAATGTGACAAACCATCTTTTCCCGAAAAGAGTAGAAGTTCGTGAGGGGCCCCAAACATCACTGTGGATTAGGGAAAAAGGTTTAGTGGGTTTGTATGGTTGTGGAGAATAAGTAGATCGATGTTGTTTTGCAAGAATACAAATTTCACACTGAAATGAAGAAGGATTCTTATTGAGAAATAAAGATGGAAACAAACGTTTTAAATAATAAAAGCTTGGATGACCAAGTCTATAATGCCATAACATAATTTCATGATTCCTAGAAAGAGACATAGCTTCAAAACATGAACTTTGGACTGGTTTACTCGGAGTGGGTCCTTCTTCAAAAAAGTAGAGTCCTCCATTTTCCCTAGCATTGCCAATCATCCTCCCCGAGGCTAGTTCCTGAAACTCACAATGAGTTGGATAAAAATTAGCTTGACACTTAAGATCTTGTGTTATCTTACTAATAGATAAGAGGTTACATGACAATTTTGGGACATGAAGCACATTATTAAGAGTTATGAGAGAGGAAACTTTGATTGAACCAATCCCGGCTATTGCCGAAAAAGATCCATCGGCAATTTTAATTTTCCTGTTTCCTGCACAAGGACTATAGGACGAGAAGAGATGTGAGCAGTTCGTCATATGATCTGTTGCTCCAGAGTCTATAATCCATGGACTAGAAGAGAAAGAACCTAGACTAGAAAGGGCTGTGACATACGAATTACCTTGGGTTGCAAGTGAGCATGAAGGATTGACAGTAAATTGTGGAGATTTAAAGAGTTTATATAGATGCTCTAATTGTTCCTTAGTGAAAGGTAACACTTCCGAGTCAATGGACTGCTCTTGAGAGTCTTCCGTAGTAGTCTTGAACGCCCTGCCATTCCCCTCTGGTTTTTTCTTGAGATTTGCTGGTTTTCCATGAAGTTTCCAGCATGTCTCCTTAGTGTGCCATGGTTTCCGACAATGATCACACCACGGGCGTTTTTTCACCTTCTAGGTCGGATCCTCCTGAGTTGCGGGAGACTAGTGCAGAATTCTCAGGTTCTGGAGTTGGTGCTGTGCTGTTCAACATGATTCTTCTCCTATTTTCTTCTTGTCGTATTTCTGAAAAAACTTCTCGGATAGAGGGCAGGGGTTTTCAACCAAGAATCCTTCCCTTTACCTCATCTAGACTTCGATTAACTCCTGCAAGAAACACGCTACCATCTCATTGTAGTATACTGTGATCTCACAGTCTCCTTGTTTGGATTTCCACAGTTTTGATTTCAATTCAAAGATCTGTGAAGAATTTTCCAAATCAGAGTAGGTATGCCGAATTGAGTCCCACACAGCCTTGGCGGTTGGTAGGAACATGTTGGGTTTTGCAATTGATGTTTCCATGGTGTTTAGTAACCATGCTGTCACCAAAGAATTTTCTGACCTCCATCTTTTAAAGCCAGAATCTTTCTCTTGGGGTTGTTTTTCTTCCCCGGTAAGAAACCCTAATTTTCCTCTGCCATCAAGCACAAGCTTCACCGATTGGGACCACTCAAGGTAGTTTTTTCCATTAAATTTTAGAATGGAAATCTGTAGGGATGTACCGGTTGTTATACTGTCAACACCGGTAACAGGGGAGCTATCTAGGTTGTTTTCGGAGGTTACCTCAGATGAGGTTTGGGCTCTGTGTTCGCCTGTCATGGCTGTTTTTGCCATTCTGCCCTAAGATTAGAACCCTAAGGCTCTGATACCATGTAGGTTTTGAAGGGAAAAACTTCTTTTTTTTCTTATTATTATTAGTGTAATGTAAACCTAATTTATAGGATACCAAATACCCTTGACAACTCATAGAAATTCAAATAAGCTCTTATCTTATCTAAATCTATCTAGATCCGGTGTTTATCTAGAAAAACCGGAATTCCCTATCTCCTAGGATCCTAATCCCAAACTAAGGGATTTGCCTCTTTAATTCAAAAACTGAAAAGATAAAATCTTCTAATTTCCTATAAAAACAAATGAACAATAACTATAACATTGTACCCTTTTTTTCAAGTATGGACGGTAATATGCTTTTGAAATTACATGAATATCTGCATCTGCATGTGATTTGAATATGTTTTGAATTGGCATACAAGTTCTAACTTCTGTCTCAGTTCAACATAAATTGCACCTAAACTTCCTTTTCCCAAGTTTCTTGAAACATCAAGGTTAATTCAGAAAACAAAAGCATTATAAGAAACAGGATTGTGAGGAACTCAACCGGGAAAAGGTCTTTACTATACCTTCATCTTGTATCCATTTTCCAGGACTTTAAGTTGCTCCAGATCCTCTTCAAGTTGCAGTGGAGTCGGCTCTAGCTCTGGATATATCTTGAGAAACTTCGAATCGTAACTCTGATAGACATATGGAACAAAGAGAAATACAGTCACAGTTAGATATTTTCCTACTAGAACCCTTGCTAATACAGATGTCTTACTATGATGGGAAAATTGTTTAGTACCTGAATTCCAAGATGAAGCAAATAGGGAAACCGTGGATTGACCTTCCCTGACCTGTTTTAAAGACAGATAATTTATTAACTCCTGCTTTAACCACATACCATAATTCCCAGAACCAATACTTAATATTATAATGACATTAAAAATAAATCCCAGAAAGCATGATCTCACTTGTTAAATGGAATCAGCCCCCTCGAAAAGTAAATTGCGTAACCACGGTTGTCCACCACGCATTTCACTCGATTTGGATCAAATGCATCTTCTGGTTTCAGAGACGTAACTGCAGTGCTGAACACTGCATCCGGCGCTTCCTGGTAAAATAACATATATATGTATTTTTTGTTTTTTTTTTAAAAAGTCCCAACATGAACACAAAGAAATTAACTGAAGACAGAGGCCACGATACCATTAATGATAGAGAAAAATAAATGAAATATCAACTCAATGCAAGTTTAAAGCTAAAGAATATGGAACTAGGCACTAGCATGGTTTACCTCGTTCAAGATTCTAAGCTAAGTAGTAAGTTGTGCATTGAGACTAATACTGGAAAACTAAACTTAAGCGTGCAACATGCAACTGAATCCTCGTTGATGATATGACACTCGCGTAGCAAGAAACATAAACGCTGCCCCAAAAATAAAAAATAAAAAATAAATAATTAAAGAAAAGAAAAGAAGCCATTTCACCTGCAAAGCTTTAACAATGCCATCTATTATCTCAGGTTCAAGAAGAGGCTCATCACCCTGTATGTTGACAACTATATCATACTTCTTTTCAAGCTTCTGAAGCGCTTCATTGCAACGTTCAGTGCCTACAAGTGTATGCAACTACATATATAAAGGTGAACAATATCCAATTAAATACAAAAAGTTTGCGTTAAGAAATAAAAACAAGATACTTACCGTTTCGGCAAGATACTGAGGTCATTATTACATCAGCACCAAAGCCACGGCAGCATTCTGCAATCTTTTCGTCGTCCGTAGCCACAACTACACAAAAAAGAATCTCCAGATGAAGGTGATACTCAGACACGCAGATTGTCGAGAGGTATTTAAGGCTGTAAATAAATTAGGAAAATTAGTTTTAACAATTCCTGATTTTCAGGGATTGTGGTAGATATCCTTTCCTATTTTTTCTCTATGTAAACTCTATAAATACTTAGCCATGTAATTATTCAATACATGAAAAATATACAGATAATTTTTCATCCCTAGTTTGCGTCATGGTATCAGAGCCCTAGGGAGACTCTCTGGGATTTCATGCCGCCAAGCAGCCTTTACTGCTGCCATTCATCCACGCCGCCAAGCAGCCTTCATTGCTGCCGGTCATCACAGCATCATTCTATTTTTTTTTTCTCTTTGAAATCTGCTTGGGCAGTCTTTTGCTGCTTTTCTTCCCCTTCATTCAATCATGTCCGATTCTGAACCCAAGGCCACCAGCACCACTAGCACTTCCTTGACTACTGAGGATGTTTCTCCTGCCCAGAAATCCGGAGACTTGCAGAATATTAGAGCCTCTTATCGACTCAATGGGAGAAACTATCTCAAGTGGTCACAAGTCGTTCGCACGTACCTCAAAGGAAAGGAAAAAAATAGCCACCTGCTTGGGACTGGACCAGCAACAACAGACCCTGGATTTGTGGCATGGGATGAGGAGGATTTAATGATTATGTCATGGCTGTGGGATTCATATTTTTTTTTTCTCTTTGAAATCTGCTTGGGCAGTCTTTTGCTGCTTTTCTTCCCCTTCATTCAATCATGTCCGATTCTGAACCCAAGGCCACCAGCACCACTAGCACTTCCTTGACTACTGAGGATGTTTCTCCTGCCTAGAGGTGTCAAATGGGCTAGGCCGTCCATGGACGGCCCGGCCCAGCCCGTAATAGTGCATGATTCGGCAAGGCCCGCGAAGGGCCCAACGGAAAAAAACCGAATTTTCACCCAAAAATCCCCTATAAATACCCCTTAATTCCACCATAAATCTCACACAACAATTCACTCTCATCTTCTCATCTCACTCTCATTCTATCTCTCAACTTCTCTCTTTGATTTTGATTCTAAGCTTTTTTCTTGTATTCATTCATTTTCTAGCCCTTTCATTTACAAAGTTCAATAAAGTTCTATCAATTTTTCTGATTTCACTGCTCTTCCTAAGCTTCGTGAGGAGACATTTTTTGAGGAAAAAATGATGCCTTCCAACCCCACCCCCACTGAACCAGAAAATGCTCCGGTGGATAATGCTTCAGTATACAACGAAGAAGCTGGAGAACGCAGCAGAGGAAAAAGACCGCGAACTTCTCCAGCATGACAGCATTTCACCGAGGAGCCCCGACCAAATCCAAAAACAGGTGCGATGAAAATTCGTACGGTATGTAAATATTGTAAAAAGCACTTTTCTAATAAAAAGGGTGAGGGTACTGGTCATCTGGATAGACATTGAAAAATATGTCTACCGTTGCACTAAGGTGGGAGTGTGGACTCCCACCAACAAACACTATCACTCACATCACATGGGTTACAAAATTTTACATACGATGCAAAACCTGCTCGCGAGGCACTAGCTAAATTTTTAGCTTGTGCCGAATTGTCTCTTTCTTTTGCAGATGATGCCTCTTTCGAAGAATTCATTCAGACAGCCTTTTGCCCACAATTTAAACGGGTAAATAAAAACACAACTCGTTCTGATTGCATGAAAGTTTTTATGCAATGAGACAATCTCTTGTTGATAATTTTAGGACTTTTAATGCTATTGTGTCTTGCACTTCTGATCTGTGGGAGGGGTGTAATAAAACTGGATATTTATGTGTTACAGCGCACTACGTTGATGACGATTGGGTTTTACAAAAAAAAAATAATTGGTTTTCGTTTATGTCCATATCCTCATAACGCAACAGCTATTTTCAGTACAATAATGAAAATTTTTGAGTTTTATAGGATAGAAGATAAAGCTTTAACAATTACTTTTGATAATGCGTCAGCTAATACAGCTGCAATTAATCTGTTTAAACGTAATTTGAAACCGGTATTTGAAGGGGAAATTTTTCATCAACGGTGTGCATGTCACATAATTAATTTAGTAGTTCAGGCAGGAATTGAACATATCTCTGCTAATCTTACAAATATTAGAGAATCATTATCCTTCATGTCTAGTTCTAGAGCTCAGCTCCAAGAATTTAAACAATATTGCAGGAATAGCCAGATGCGCCCAAGAAAGTTTCCAACTGACGTGAGACATAAGTGGAATTCAACATATTTAATGTTGAAGGCAGCACTCCCATATTCACAGCTTATCATGACATACGTAAACAGTAAGAACGATCAAATTTTAATTTTCGATCCTGATTGGCAGATTGCTGAGTATTTTTTTAAATTTTTAGAAGTTTTTTACAATGCTACTGAATTACTTTCTGGAGTTTATTATCCTACTGCACATTTAGCTTTACATCAACTATTTAATATTTCAGAAATATTTTCTTATTATAGGGCTACACAACTTTTTGGAAATATAGTTAACTTAATGGAAAATAAATTTAAAAGTTATTGGTCAGGTTGTCCTATGTTATATGCATTGGCAACCATTTTAGATCTTAAGTGCGGAGTAGATGGAACTGAATCATTGATGACTGCTACCGCAGAGAATTTAAAAATAGATATGCAACTAAGTATTACTGCCGCAAAGAAAATGTTAGAAAAAGTTTTTAATTTGTATAAAGTAAAATATAGCACGGGTCAAAAAGAACAGAGAACTTCGTCGTCAACTATCAGTTCGGGGCTTAAAGGATCGTCGTGGAGTTTCTTGAAGAAAAAAGAGAAAACGGCAGGATCGTCCTCAACACAAGCGTCTACGAAACTAGTCAAATATTTTGAAGCAAATTTTGTAATCGATGACGACAAACTAGACATCTTACAATGGTGGAAGAGCAAGACAGATCGTTTTTCAACACTGTCCATAATAGCTCGTGACATTCTGACAACTCCAGTGTCAATGGTAGCATCGGAGCAAGCTTTTAGCGCAAGCAACCGAATTCTTGACGAGAAGAGAAGCAGAATGCATCCAGATATCTTGGAGGGACTAATGTGCGTTAAAGACTGGGAAGATGCCAGAAGACGAAAACAATAATACACAGATGATTCGATGCAAGAATATTTTTCTAACTTAGAAATAACAGAATTTTCTAGAAGCACTTAGGTTTGTAATTTACTATTCCTAGCTACTGCACTCTTTTTTTCTTTGCTAAGGTTTTGTCCCGATCTCCCCACGGGTTTTACTTAGTAAGATTTTTAACGAGGCAGTCATTTACGTGTACTCATATTACGTCAATTCAATAAAATCACATCTTTTGGGGCATTTGATATTTTTTTTAATTAAATTAAGAAAAAAAAAAAACAAGGGCCTGGGCCTGGCCTGGCCCTTATGGACTAGGGCCAGGGCCTGGACCGGGCCTGAGTTTTTCTTCTCAGGCCCGGCCCAGGCACGACCCTGCACTGTGCAGGGCCGTGCTTGGTACGGCCCAGGCCCGTGATGGGCCTGGGGTCAAGCGTGCCGTGCTGGCCCGGCACGGCACGTTTGACAACTCTACTCCTGCCCAGAAATCCGGAGACTTGCAAAATATTAGAGCCTCTTATCGACTCAATGGGAGAAACTATCTCAAGTGGTCACAAGTCGTTCGCACGTACCTCCAAGGAAAGGGAAAAATCAGCCACCTGCTTGGGACTGGACCAGCAAAAGCAGACCCTGGATTTGTGGCATGGGATGAGGAGGATTCAATAATTATGTCATGGCTGTGGGATTCAATGGAACCAGCCATTAGTGATACTTGTATGTTTCTGACTTGGGCGTAGGAGATATGGGATTACATTCAACGTACCTATTCAAAGGCACGTGATACAGCCCAGGTGCATGAGATAAAGATTAAGACAAATGGAATGAAGCAAGGAGACATGACTGTCATAGAGTATGCCAATTTTCTGCAGATCATGTGGCAGGAATTTGATCACTATCATGAAATGCCCGGAGGATGCAGCAATTCTCAAGAAATATATTGAAGGTGACAGAGTGTATGACTTCTTGGCTGGGTTGAATTCCGAATTTGATCAAGTTCGGTTACAAAGACTCAGTAAGGAGGAGGTTCCTTCACTGGAAGAGACCATCTCAATTATTCGTGGAGAGGAGAGCTGAAGGAATGTGATGCTAGAAAAACCGAGTGGTATGGAAGGGTCTGCTCTAGTGACTAAATTGGAACATCAGGAGAAGAATACGGATGACCAGCCAAGGAATTCAAGAAGGGAGAACCAGAGAAGGGAAAATCAAGATACTTTGTGGTGCACCTACTGCAAGAAGCCGAGGCATACCAAGGAAAATTGCTGGAAGTTGAATGGCAAACCTCCAAGTAGTGAGTGGGGAACACGTGGAAGACAACAACGGCCCCAAGCTCATCTCACGGAACAATCAAAGGCTGAAGAAGGACCGGATAGCAAGGGATTCAAGGGAGATGAGATTGGGTTCAAAAGGGATGAGATTGAAAAATTACGAAGTCTATTGAGTTCTCTTGAAAAACCATCCGGAGCTAGTTCCTTAGTTCTCTCAGGTAAGCCAACGCTTCTGACAAGTTTTTTGATGATTCTTGGATATTAGATTCCGGAGCCACGGACCACATGACACATTTCTCATATTTTTTCCGTACATATACTCCTTGTCCAAGTAATAGGAAGATTATTGTTGCAAATGGAGAATTAGCTACAGTGGCAGGTTTAGGAGACGTTTATATTAATCCCTCTGTGGTCCTTAAAAATGTCTTGCATGTGCCGAAGTTATCAGCTAATCTTATTTCTATTCAAAAACTTACAACTGATCTTAAGTGTTGTGCAATATTTTTCTTGTCTCATTGTGTTCTTCAGGATCAGGCCTCGGGGAGGAAGATTGGACTTGCTAAGGAAAGAAATGGTCTCTACCACCTGGAAATTTCAAAGAAAACCGCCAATAACCTGCATGTGTCTCTTCTCAGTTCTTCCAATAAAGATGTCATTTGGCTTCACCATTATCGTCTTGGTCACCCGTCCTTTAGAGTCCTACAAGTTATGTTTCCACAATTGTTCATAAGATTTGATATTTCTAAGTTTCATTGCGATGTTTGTGAACTAGCAAAACATAATTGTGTTCCTTTCCCTATCAGTAATAAAAGTGTTTTTCCTTTTCAATTGATCCATAGTGATATTTGGGGTCCATCTACTATCCTAATGTATCGGGGGCTCGTTGGTTTGTCTCATTAATTGATGATTGCACACGTGTAACTTGACTGTTTTTACTTAAACAAAAATCTGATGTCAGTAATATTATTCCCAGCTTCCATTCCATGATCCAAAACCAATTTGGGATAAAAATAAAAACCTTTAGGTCAGACAATGCTAAGGATTATTTCAACCAGGTTTTATCACCCTATTTTCAAAAAGAAAGAATTATTCACACTTCTTATTGTGTGGATACACCCTAACAAAATGAGATAGCTGAGAGGAAAAATGGGCACCTATTAAATGTCACTAGAGCCTTGTTGTTTCATGGGAACACGCCTAAATCCTACTGGAGGAAGCCGTCTTAACAGCCACGCACATAATAAATAGACTACCCTCACGTGTACTTGACAACAAGAGTCCTATGGAAATTCTTAATGCCCACTACCCTCACTTTAGAACCTCAAATGGCCTTATACCTAGGATATTTTGGATGCACAGCCTTTGTACATGTCCACCGTCCAAACAGAGGGAAGTTAGACCCCCGTACAATCAAATGTATTTTTGTTGGCTATTCATCCACACAAAAGGGGTACAAGTGCTATCATCCTCCATCAAGAAAATACTATATCTCAGCTGATGTTACCTTCTTCGAAAACAAATCTAATTTCCCAAAATCTCATCTTCAGGGGGAGACAACTAATCTTGAAGATGGTACTTGGTCTGAATCGTTTGAGTCTTTTGAACCACTTGATCTTCCGTCTACTTCTCATTCCCCTTTAGTCATCACTCCGGTCACCCCACAAGGTCCTGCCCAAGAGCCCGAGTCTTCCAACACAGAAACCGATCCTACTTGTCAACCCCAAGAGTCTGTCAGTTCTGAAAATCCGAAAGAGCCTGCGTCCAGTCAAGTTATTGATATTCATTTATGGTTTTCTTAGGTGTATACAAGAAGGGCAAAAGCCCCAAACCTGACACAAGTCCAAGAGGCCAACCCAAGTCCTGAGAATAAGGGCATGGTGAGTACAGATTCACTCCTAGACACTGAGACAGTTGAAGCTTCAGCCGATGACTCTCATTTGCCCATTGCCATCAGGAAAAAATCCCGAGAATGCTCCAAGAGGCCACTATATCCTCTTTCCCATTAACACCTGTCACCATCCCACCAGAGGTTTATAGCTAGCCTAAACACAATCTCCATACCAAATACACTTTCTGAGGCGTTATTGAAGGAGGAGTGGAGGAATGCTATGAGAGAGGAATTAGAGGCTCTGGAAAAGAATCAAACATGGGAGATAGTGAAGAGACCAAAAGGAAAGAACATAGTTGATTGCAAATGGGTATTTGCATTAAAGTATAAGGCTGATGGATCTCTCGAGAGATATAAAGCAAGGTTAGTTGCGAAAGGGTACACTGAGACTTATGGGGTGGATTATCAGGAGACATTCGCTCCGGTGGCAAAAATGAATACCGTGAGGATTTTAGTGTCGTTAGCAGCCCATTTTGACTAGCCTTTGCTACAATATGATGTGAAAAATGCCTTCCTCCACGGAGACTTGGATGAGGAGATATATATGAGCATCCCGCCAGGATTTGAGGGGAATAAAACCAGTGACAAAGTCTGCAAGCTTAAAAAGGCTCTATATGGGCTAAAACAGTCCCCTAGAGCATGGTTTGGCGGATTTGCTAAGGTAATGAAAGATTCGGGTTATAGGCAAAGCCAAGGTGATCACACGCTGTTCTTCAAACATTCGGCCTCAGGGGGAGTGACTGCCTTGCTTGTGTATGTTGATGATATCATCGTAACGGGGAATGATGAGAAGGAGAAAGATGACTTGAAGAGAAGACTAATTCAAGAATTTGAGATAAAGGAACTTAGGAGATTGAAGTATTTTCTTGGGATTGAGGTGGCATACTCTAGACAAGGCATCTTTGTATCCCAACGGAAGTATGTAACTAATCTTTTAATAGAAACTGGAAAGGCTGATTGTAAACCGGCTGCCACTCCTATGGACTCAAACCAGAAATTAAGTGAAGCAAGAGAGGAACCACCAGTGGACAAGGGAATGTATCAAAGGCTAGTTGGGAGACTCATATATCTCACACACACTCGGTCTGATATAGCTTACTCAGTGAGTGTGATCAGCCAATTTAGGCACAATCTGAGGGAGCCTCACCTTCAAGATGCACATAGAATACTGCAATACTTGAAGGGCAGTCCCAGAAAAGGGATCTTGTTCAAAAGGAACTCTGTTTTGACGTTAGAAGCATATACAGATGCAGATTATGCAGGTTTTATAGTGGATAGAAGATCAACAACTGGCTATTGTACATTTCTTGGTGGTAATCTGATAACATGGAGGAGCAAAAAGCAGAATGTTTGTGGCTAGATCATCTGCAGAAGCTGAATTTCGGGCTGTTGCTCAAGGGATGTGTGAACTACTTTGGCTGAAAATTATTCTAGATGATTTGAGAGTCAAGTGGGAGGAACTATGAAGCTCTACTGTGACAACAAGTCAGCAATCAACATCGCTCACAATCCTATTCAACATGATAGGACAAAACATATTGAGATTGATAGACACTTCATCAAAGAGAAGTTGGAAGAAGGACTCCTATGTATGTCCTATGTTCCTTCGAGAGGTCAACTGGCTGACGTTTTAACAAAAGGATTAAATTGTTCTAATTTTCATGAGATTGTAGCCAAGTTGGGAATGGAAGATATTCATTCCTCAGCTTGAGGGGGAGTGTCAAGAGATATTTTAGGCTGTAAATAAATTAGGAAAATTAGTTTTAACAATTCCTGATTTTCAAGGATTGTGGTAGATATCATTTCCTATTTTCTCTCTATGTAAACTCTATAAATACTTAGCCATGTAATTATTCAATATATGAAAAATATACAGATAATTTTTCATCCCTAATTTGCGTCACAGATATGAAAGGTGACATTAAGAACAAATATGTCAAAACCTCATCTGTTGTCAACATGGAAAAACTTTCTTTGATGTTCTTAATTGTTCTCCAATCATGTAAGGAAAGTACTTCAACCTCATCAAAATTAAGCAACCCATCTTTTTAATGTAAATCAAGCACGTAAAGAAGAGGAAAAGCTTTTGATCAAGAAGAATCAACTATAAGGTGCTCATTCTACTATGGTAAGTTTCAAGCAAAACTTAAAAAGGTCATCCCCGTCATCTATGTATTAACATGTCTAACCGTTACAGCATTTAATAAAAATAAACTCTATATCAAGATCTCTATATTGAAGACCATCAACCTTAAAGGCCAGGTTTCCATATGGGCATTTAGACTCATTCCATTACAACTAAAATATTACTAACCGAAAACTGCAATTGAAACTGATCCCGAGATTTTGCACACAAAATTTACGATAGTTTCTTCTCATAAACTTATGAAGCGAAGCAATATGACATACCGACATGATCCAATGTAGTTGCGAGTTTTGCCCTCTCCCACGTTCTCTGTAGAAAAGAACTTTAAAACTCATCAAAACTTTCCCAAACGTTTAAGACCAATATACCATGATCCAACTTCTGAACCCAAAAAAATACCAACCATATTGCTAGAGTGATTTCTCTCACATAAATTCAAATTTAACTTTTTTACTAGAGTATTTTTCTCTCACATAAAAATCCAAGTCATGACTTGAATTGTGAAAATGAACACACCCTAAGTTCCTTAAACTTTAAACATTCCACAACAAAATGCCCACAAATTCAAAACGTTTGAACATGAGAGCTTTAAAAGACTACTTGCTAGATCCATACTACAGAACACATAAATTCCTCAATGGAACGTAATTAAGCACGAACAATTCATAATTTCACATGAAAAGCCTCACATTCTTCTCAATGTATCATTCTAATTCCCAAAAAAGAAAAAACAAAGTGTTCAGAAAACATGAATTTATCCACACAAAAAAAAAAAAAAGAATCGCAAAAGGAACATTAAAACGAGCCAATTTCCAATTTGATACCAAAAGCGGTTTATATATGTGGGTATATGAAAAAGACCAAAGAGTGGAAATGAGAGATAATGCAACTTAGATTACTGAATCGAAGCAAATTGGTACCTGGATCATAGGCTTTCCGAGGATCTGAACCAAGGGCTTGCCTTCAAGACGCGACGAAGCAAATCTAGCGGGAATAATCCCAACCACTCGGCTTCGGAAGTTTCTGGATTTGCCGAGATAGAATCGGGCTCCGATTGCCGCTGCGACGGCGGCTCCGGCGACGATGCCGTGGACGAGCCATGCCTTTGTTCCACTCCAAGATCCGGACGACGAACACATTGACATGGTTGGTGTGCGAGGGAAAGGGTACAAACTTCACCAAATTAGCTCATAATAATTTTTTATGTCGTGTCTTTTTTTTTTTTTTTCTTGCGGTGTTTTTATGTCGAATTTTGACATTTTCATTATAATAGCTGTTGTCTGATCAATAATTAAAATTGGATCCCTCTTTCAATTAGAATTGGATTTTTTTTCTTTCTTTCTTTTCTTAGAATTATCCAGCATAATTCGTAGTATTAAAATCTATTTAATTCAATGATTTAAATTTTTAATTTAAGTTAAGATATAATTTTATATGAAAATTTTTTATTATAATAAAAAAATTAAATATTATTAAAAATATTTTATTGTAATAAAATTTAAATTTTAAATTTAAATAAGTAAATATTCTGTTTATTTCACTAATTTTAATTTATAATTTAAATTTTATTACATTAAAAATTTTTAAAAATAATCACATTTAATTTTTTTATTTTAATAAAAAATTATCATATAAAATCATATTTAAATTAAACGGCCGAAATAAACGGTTTTATTTAATTTACATTTTTCATCTTACCACTTTCCAGTCATTCCAAGCTGTTTGTCACACCTGGGAAGTTGGCATTGATGCCTTCGCGTGTGAAAGATTTTCCTACTTCTGACTTTTTTGAGTCAAAATTCACTTTACTCATCAGTAATCACATCAATTACACCCCTCCGATTGTGCACTATCGCTAGCGTAAAATAAAGTAGCGGTATTTGTAGAAATTTCTTTTTCTTTTCTTTGGTTCTTTATAATTTTTTTTTTAAATTTTTCTGTCTTTTTCTTTTTGACAAGTTTTTTTTTTTTTTTTTTCGCTTTTTGGGATTGGTCTGACAAATAGAAAGAGACGGTTTATTTGCAAAGAGGAAAAGAGTAGAAAGGATAGATAAATTTAGAAGGGTGAAAATAACAAGGATAAAAGAGACAGAAAAATATGCATAAATATTTATTTGTCAAATTATTATATATGTGGTAACTAATACATTTATGTTTTATCCAAATGTGAGTTTTCACCTTATAGTTAAAAAAAAAAAACAAAATATATTATAGTTTAACTATTAGCGTTAGATTTCGTCATTTAATCTTTATCGTTCACTAGTCAATTCGAGTCGGGTAAGACGAAAAACTACTAAATACGAGAACTTTATAAGGAGACTCATATATTGAAGCCATCAAGAAAAGACTTAGATCTAAGATCAGCTCAAAATAATTGCAACACTTGGGAGTTGGAGGCAATTATGACTGCACGGTGGAGCAGAGTAAGCTGCTCCACAGAGTATTTCAAAAATCTTTCAAGGAATTTTCCATCCTGGGATTTTGAGAACTTACCAAATCACAAACAAATGCAGGTTATATCAACAAATTTTCCAATTCTACAAAAAAAGGTTGACATAGGATGTTTAGTAGAGGAATTCGTTCCCTGATTCGAATCATGATTCATGGTTCGCTACAGTATTTTCTCTCATAAAAAATATACGTAAATCAAAAATGGTTCGAATCACATGATTTAAATCCTCTAACCAAACGTCCTCGATCGAGAAAATATACTCTATTCTGAATAAAGAAACTATATCCAATCATGAAACTATAAAAGGTTACAGCTATAAAAGTAGGCCTTCCCTTAGCACCAAGAACGTCCAGGAGGCATCCTACAAGCCCTAGCATTTGGTCTTTCAGCAAATATAATTCTCTCTACCACTCACTATCTTTCTACATAGTAAAAAAGCAAACACTATCATGGATATTGCTCTCACGTTAAGGGCGAATGCTATAAATCCAGTCTCTCTTTATTTTTTGCTTTCTGTTTGCTTGCTTTTGCCTAAGACCGATCTTAGGCAACAAATCAACATTAAAAAAAAACAAAAGGGAGCAAGATTGTTGTTTAGAAATACCAGATTGGGGGTTGACAATTAAAAGGGTTGTTTACTATACATTTTAAGCTTATAGAAAAGTTTGTCATGCATATTTTATGTTCTCAACATTGTACCTTCAAATTTTAATTTTTATATAAATTCTATGCATTTTCTTACCCACTACAAGTTTTGACCACTTAAATTATGACTTTATTATTTAAAGATTATGATCAACTTGTTCACTTTATACTTTACGACTACTAAAGTCACATTTAAGTGATAAAATTGACGTTTAATTTAGACAACGTATAAATTTATTTTAATGTCTTTTCTTTTAAACAATATAATTACAAATGCGATTGAAAAGTATAATGTTAAAAACATGCAGAATATATGATGCAAGCTTTCCATAAGCTTAAAATGTGCAAAATATAAAAAAGGAAATGACCAAAAAATTGTCGTTCCAGCCACAGAGCCATCTTAAGGCAATTCTCAACTTCTTGGTGCATTTGACTGACAAAGAATTCTCAACTATATTATCCGTTAGAGGAGGATGTAATATTATATATCAGAAACAATCAAAATAACGAGATTGGTTAATGTTAACTACACAGAAACATCATCATCTATTGCCCCAAGTATCTCTAGTACAAACAATCTAGATGATGTAAAAAGCACAAGCTATCGTATTCCCGACGCTAGTGTTGAACCACAGAAGTTCCCTTAGAAAAGGTTCTCTAATGTTCACATGTTTATTGGATACAGCTCTTTTTACAAATTTTTTTTTTATCTTTTCACCAAATTCTTTCATCTTTGAAGCAAAATCCTTCAGCTTCCAAACAATTCTGCACAAAAAAAAAGTAGGGGAAACAAACAAGTGAGAACGATAATGCAAATATGGAGGAACAAAGATTATTGAAAGGGAAAAAAAAATGTATAATAAACGAATGAAAACAATTACCCTATTCTTTCAAAATAATTTCCCTGGATAACTTTGATTATAATCATCCCATTTTTTTCAGTGAATCTGATCTCTTTACAGCCCTTGATGTCATCAGCTCTAATATGTTTGGTACTTTGTCCCACATCAAAATGAATCTCTTGGAAACAATCTGAATACAATGGAAAATTAAGGACACGACAGGGCATATCTATGTGTTTACCGGGCCCCACATCTCCAAAATCTTCAAGAGTAAGTATGAGACCGGAGAAGGGGAATCTAGAGTACACTCTCATCTTAATGCGACATTCAGAACAATCATTGTAAACTCGGATCCTTTGTGATATCATCTTTGGTTTCACCGCAAACAATTACAAGCTACAAACAAAGAATTAACAAGTAGAATTAGTACATGACCAAATGAAAAGGGCCTATTTGATTGTATTTTATATGTGTACACACAAATGTAATAGAACATTAAGACCATTTACAATAAATAGCTAATGTCAATTGTATATTTAGTACTAAAAAGTGTGATAGAATATATTATTTTCATTTGTACTCTAATACGTAATGCTATTTTAAACACTAAATCTACTTTTTTTTATCATAATCATTAAGTTTTAAATGTTGTAAAAGTAAACTTTTAATTTAAAATAGTTTAAAAATGCAAAAGTTGTACTGATTAAATGAAAAAGTAAACACATCAATCCCTAGCAATTAAATGTCAAATTTGTTACATGTAATACTTGATGTCAACACAACAAATAACACTGCATTAAAGAGTGTTTCTTACCTTCAAATATTAAATTTGTCATTAACACATCAATTATAATATTATATTAAAAATGCTCTTAATAGACTATTAAAAAAAGACAAAACAGAGTCTGACATATGTATACTATCATTTTAAAAATATTACCAAATAGGCCTATGGTGTCTCCAAATTAATAAGCAAATAAATAGGAGAACTCATCCTTACCCGTCTTAATTCATCTAAATACACATTCATACACACGCATAGGAATATAAGAATTGTCTACGGTTCTTTCCATAAAAAACATAGTTCTAACATAACATATAAAAGTGAAACATGTAACATGCTATTTAGTCAACAAAATCACTTAATAATAATAATAATAATAATAATAAACAACTATCAAGAGATACCGTTACTGCTGCGAGACGAGTCATGAATATATAATAATAATAATAATAAATCATAGTTTGTTACTTGGAAGTAAGACATATACTCATCAAGAACATACCATAAAAACACAATCAAAAAAAAAAAAACTGAACGGGCGCAAAGTAGAATTAGTTATGAAATTCAAACTACATTACCTTTTGAAGAAAGAATTCAGAGCGTAGGTGTTTGGCTAATTAAATCAAAGTAAGAGAGAGAAAGATTAAACTGTAAATTTCCTGAACCTTTTAAGATCGATTTATATAGTCAAGTAGACTAGGGATTGATGTTGGAAAGGACTGTTGAACATTAATATATAAGAAGTAGAGGGCGTTTGAAATTGTGTTCAATTAGGAAACAAAAGAAGCGCGATAGATTAGGAAAGTTACTCCTAGTTAGAATCAAATATGATCGATCACCTCTAGCGATTACCACAC